TCAACTTCGGCCACGAAACGTTTGAACGTATCAAGTGCTTCAGGTCGATGAGATAATAAGTACACATACCCAAAACGTGAATAGTCATCTATAAAGGTAATAAAATATGTAGCCCCATGACGAGCTTTTATATTTAAAGGCCCACAAATATCAGAATTAATCAACTCTAAAAGATTTGATGCTCTTGATGCCTTACCAAAAGGCTTTTTAGTAGCTTTTCGGCTAGACAAGGTTCGTATTTAGACAATTTAACTTTAGTCAATTGTCCCAAATGTCCCTCTTTAGCTAGCCTGGACATTCTATCTTGACCAATATGACCAAGTCTGTGTCATTTTACAGATTCAGAATCAACATTATAAAATGAAGCAAAAACATGTGATGAGTCATTATAACTTTCATCCAAGTCAAGAACAAAGAAACCATTCTTTAAAATACCATGTTCGAATAAATTGTCATGATATAAAATGTCCAAACCGCTACTATTGAAGTTAAAGGAAAAACCAAGTTTTAACAAGGAAACAACTGAAAGTAAACAACTTTGCGCCCCAGGTGCATAGAGAGCATCATGAAGGAGTAGTATATTTCCACCATGGAGTTTAAGTTGGTATGTTCCAAACCCAAGGACATCTTCCTCGCTCCCATTTCCTAACATGACAGTTTGAGTGCCAATAGAAAACCGGTGGAACTCCACAAATCTAGATCTTTAATGAATTATGTGCTTGCTTGCTTTCATATCTATAATCCAATTAAGAATAGAATTAGCAACTAATGCATGGGAACAACCATATAGTTCAAATGAATTAGTGGTAGAAGGTACCTTTTTTGGCTCAGCACAATCATGAGCGAAATGACATTTTTGTCCATAATTATAGGACTTCACACGCGCTTTTTCTTCTCCTTTTGGCCATGTGCCATATGTTGTTTCTAGAAACCACCGTTTGGTCCATAATTTTGAGAAGGAAGGGAAGATTTCTTGGCTCTTTTGCGCTTATTTCCCTTGGTTTGACCACCATGGGCAACAAATGCAACATTGGAAGGTGCTAACGTTCTCTAACGTTCTACTTCCATTTCAATATGTTTAGCAAGTTCCGAAAAAGTTTTTACATTCTCGCTATGAGCCATGAGGAGCTTAAAGTTCTTCCAATTCTCAGAAAGTGAACGAACCACATTTAAAACTTGCACCTCGTCAGATACATCTCGTCCGCAACTTTGAGGTCGCGTATCATGGCACTCATGACACGCAAATGCTCGGCAATAGAATGCTTAGAATCCATATTGTAATCCATCCACTTTAAGTTCAAGGTACGGAGCCTAGTAGCTGAAGTTTGCCCGAAGGTGACCTTAAGCTTGTCCCACATGTCTTTAGCCATGGGACAATTCTCAAACTCTCTAATAAGATCGTTATGCATGCAATACAACATAGTATAGCATGCAGACCGATCCTTTTTGGACCACATTTGATAGGTTGTCAATTCTTCCTTGTACTGCGCACTAGCAGTATCCTTTAGCTCAATCACAGTAGTGGACAAGGTTTCCAAAACCTCGCGTTCAGTAAGAAGATACTGAATCTTCCTATGCCAGATGTCGTAATTGGTACCATCTAGCTTTTCGTTGGAGGACAAATCTCCAATCATAGATTTAGTTGTCATCTACAAGCATATAAAATGGATTTTAGGCATGAGGTCAATATAATTAAATTATCATTTTTTATTTTTGTTTATGCTATAAGTTCGAAAATTTCACCAAGCTCATAATCATCACAAATAACACGAACAAGAATAAATATAATTTAATTAACCTTATTGTAATGAAACATATTCATTTATTCCTGTTATTGTTTAACAAATAAACACAAATATAAACATCACAAAGATATTTAAGTCTCATAACATGAATAACATATATTCATGTATCATATTAAATAATTATTTAAATATCACTTAGATAATTTAAATAATAACATGAAGCAAACACTATTACCAAAATATTGATTTATTCTTTTCATCAGAATAACAAATATTATGGCAATTTCAAAACGATTTTTATTTAATGGTAATCATGAATACCATATAAATATTTATAAATCATAATAATAACTAGTATTATTATTAAACAAAAAAATATGAAAGAAGAAGATATAATAAAGACTAACTTTTATATAACACATATATAACACATATATAAATATATATAGGACTAACTTTTATGTAGCGGAAGCAAAAACTTGCCCGTATCTTTTATCCGACGGCTACTAGAGTCGTCGGTATCCTCCACGCTATAAAACCCAAGCCGCCTTGATGGTTTCGGCTCAACAAGAGAAAAGCACTATATAAAGATTATATATATTTCTCTAACTTATTTGCTTGTCTCGTATTGTCCCTTTTTCAAGATGCCCAAAGCATCAATTTATAGTTGTCTTCATACAACTATTCACTTAATGAAGACATGAATTCACACTTCATAACTCCATACATAATGGAGAGTAACATTTCCTCCATTAAGTGGATGTTACAAATCAATTGATGCATGCAACATCAATTTCAAACAATAATATACAACATATAAACTGCAAATATATTGTTTTGTTGATTACTTTTTTTGGCCAAACGTAAGTAATTTGAGTCAAATATTTAAAATAAGAGCTGTCAGAAATTTGAATGCATAAACCAGAAATAAGCATATTGTAATATCATAAATGAAAGAATCATATCATTTTGTATTTATATACTATAAATAAACTGTATATGAAGAAAGAGAAGCAAACATGATACTTCACCTTCCTACGTGTTGCAGAAAATAGAAGAGGGTGGTGAAATTTGGTGAATGGAATTTTGAGAGTGAAAGGTTAGAATTGAATTTCATGGTGCGTGGATTAAAGGAAAGAGGAAGGAAGGAGAAAAGAGAGAAAAGAAGAGGAATGTGTTGGGGTTGCAAACGTGTGTTATGATGGAAGATGTGTAAGTATCTCACTCTCAAAAATTAAGCATTTTATCTTCCTCTTATACTAATAAGGGAGAGTTTTTACATAATTTTTTATTCAAATGCCTTTTATCATATGAAGCCGCGTGTACTTCTAATTTATTCTTCTTAATTTTTTATTTATTGCTTGTTCTTAATTTATTTTTTTCCTAACCCAGCATCCCAACCTTTTTTTCGTCTTAATTGGCTCCCTTACTTTATTCTGTTTCGAGACCTTTTTTTTCTTAAGTTATTAATACTTTTGCCATAACATCACATTTATCTAATATTTACCAACAAACCCGACCTAACACACAATTTCACTTAAATTTATCTTTGTCCGCCTTCCTTCATCTATTTTCACCATCCCCGTTGCCTTCCTAACGTGCTGCTTACTGAGCATCTGGCCCCCACTTTCAATAGCCTCCCTCGACTGAAAAGTGACAAGGACCCTATTCGACCACCGTCGGATTTTGCAAAGGTTCGGATTGCATCATATCTTAATCAATAAATTGTTTTTTAATTTTCTAATTATTGTTAATTTCAGGCCAAGGTCTTCATGCATGAGTATTTGCCTGTGGATTTGGGCCTTCATTGCCTTTTGATTTTCTCTTTCATTCTTGATTTTATTTGTTTGGGTTAAAGAATGGGCTCAATTAAATTAATTGGCAATCTTTTTTAAATTTGTCAATTTTTTTGATGGAATTTATTACACTAACACAATGTCACAACACAATCTACATCTACACTACTGACAAAAGATTTGAATAGTTTTTTTTTTTACTATATTACCTTTCATTATGGCATTGCAATTTTTTAATATCTTTTTTTTTGCAGCTTTATGGATAAATTTTTAATTTGGATTTACTTTTTCAACACAAAATTTTTTAGTCAAATGCCTTTCTTCATATGAGGCCACATGTACTTTTAACTTATTCTTCTTAATTTTTTATTTGTTGCTTGTTCTTAATTTATTTTTTCCTAACCCAGCATCCCAACCTTTTTTTCATCTTAATACGCTTCCTTACTTTATTCTGTTTCGAAAACTTTTTTTTTCTTAAGTTATTAATACTTTTGCCAAACATCACATTTATCTAATATTTACCAACAAACCCAACCTAATACAATTTCTCTCAAATTTATCTTTCCCCTAAAATCTTTCCACGCAATCGCAGTCGCAAAAAATCTCTCAAATTTGTTCGCCTTCTTCATCGATTTTCACCATCCCCGTTGCCTTCCCAAACGTGCTGCTTACTGAGCATCTGGCGCCCACTTTCAATCGCCCCCTTCGACTGAACGGTGACCAGGACCCTATTCGACCACTGTCAGATTTTGCAAAAGTTCGCATTGCATCATATCTTACTCAATACATTGTTTTTTAATTTTCTAATTACTGCTAATTTCATGTCAAGGTCTTCATGCATGAGTATTTGCCTGTGGATTTTGGGTCTTCATTGCCTTTTGATTTTCTCTTTCATTCTTGATTTTATTTGTTTGGGTTAAAGAATGGGCTCGGTTAAATTAATTAGCAAACTTTTTTAAATTTATCAATTATTTTGAGGGAAATTTATCACACTAAAACAATGTCACAATACAATCTACGTCTACACTACTGACAAAAGATTTTAATAATTTATTTTTTTTACTGTATTACCTTTCATTATGGCATTGCAATTTTATAATATCTTTTTTTGCAGCTTTATGGATAGATTTATAATTTGGACTTACTTTTTCAACACAGAATTTTTTATTCAAATGCCTTTCTTCATATAAGGCCACGTGTACTTCTAACTTATTCTTCTTAATTTTTTATTTGTTGCTTGTTCTTAATTTATTTTTTCCTAACCCAGCATCCCAACCTTTTTGTTGGTCTTAATTGGCTCCCTTACTTTATTCTGTTTCGAAAACTTTTTTTTTTCTTAAGTTATTAATACTTTTGCCAAAACATCACATTTATCTAATATTTACCAACAAACCCGACCTAACACACAATTTCTCTCAAATTGATCTTTTCTCCAAAATCTTCACATGCAATCGCAGCCGCAAAAACTCTCTCAAATTTGTCCGCCATCCTTCATCGATTTTCACCATCCCCGTTGCCTTCCAACGTGCTGTTTACTGAGCATCTTGGCCCCTCTTTCAATTGCCCGCCTCGACTGAAAGGTGACCAGGACACTATTCGACCACCGTCGGGGCCACCATCGGATTTTGTAAAAGTTGCGGTTGGATCATATCTTAATCAATAGATTGTTTTTTAATTTTCTAAATACTGTTAATTTCAGGTCAAGGTCTTCATGCATGAGTATTTGCCTGTGGATTTGGGTCTTCATTGCCTTTTGATTTTCTTTTTCATTCTTGATTTTATTTGTTTGGGTTAAAGAATGGGCTCGGTTAAATTAATTGGCAAACTTTTTTAAATTTGTCAATTATTTTGAGGGAATTTATCACACAATGTCACAACACAATCTACATCTACACTACTGACAAAAGATTTTAATAGTTTATTTTTTTTCGTACTGTATTACATTTCATTATGGCATTACAATTTTCTAATATCTTTTTTTGCAACTTTATGGATAGATTTTTAATTTGGACTTACTTCTCTAACCATTTATTTCTTTCTAGATATCTATTGATTTGATGTGTCTGACACAACTTATATAATAACACACTATTATATGTTTTATCACACATGAGAAAGTTCAGTGTCAGGCATATGTATTTTTTTAAAAGTAAACTCTTAAGAAACTAAAACAAAATATAAACGGCAGTAACATACTTATCTGCATCTATCATACTCAACTTTTTGTTGCTTACTGTCTTCTTCCTCTTAGGTATGTTTACAAAGTATAAAATATCATTGTAGCTATCGGTCTTCTCTTCTTCTTCTACAATTCTCCAGATCCTCTCTGTTCTTCTATGGTTTTGAAGCCATGAATATAAAATTAGAATCGGAATAAGATTGTGTTTTATCCTTGAGTACTCATACATTTTAGCTTTATTGTTCAGGTCTGGGGAATTTTGTATTCAAAAGATTGTTAAGTGTTCTGTTCTACTAAACCTGGGTTCATTGTNNNNTAGTAGTGTAAAAGTTATATCATTTGGGTGTCTTTGTATTATTCAACATCTTTTTCAATTGTGTGTAGGTTGTAGATATCATAATATTTAGAGTATATGTTCTTTCTTTTTCATTTTGGTATGGTCATATTTGTATGTTGAATTTTTAATTTTGTATTGTTCCATTGGAGCTTAACTTAAGTTTTTCAATTAATCCTATAGTTTGGAGTTTTTAAGTTCAATGACTATGGTCAGACTTTTCAATGCTTATTAAGTTATATCTCTATAATGACTATAATCTTTCTTAAACTAATTAAATCATCAATGATCATTGTCTGAACCTGTTCAGGCCTACAAATTATCAAACAAAGGGACTTTTATTTAAAATACAATGGAAGAAAAATATGGACAAAGTGCAATTGCTGGATGGAGAGAAAAAAAAAAGGCACAACTTTAGCCATTCTAGCCATCAAAATAATAGGAATGTTCAATTATTAACAACAAACAATGATGTACAATTGATACAAAATATATGTATAAGAAAAAAAATTGCTGCAACAAATAATAGGTCAGAAGTAATGGTGATGAACACTGAAATAGCTACAAATGATATGTATGATACCATACTGGGTGCTTCAAGTAATCAAAATATTTTAAGCCCGACACGAAATAAAAGTCAGTTTGTATGGTGTTTTCATACGGGAAAAGTTATTAATATAATGTCGCATATAACTCATTTAACTTCCGAGGTTTTGAATCTTGGTGAAACTTCTGTGGCAAATAATTCCACCACACAAGAAAACTAAGGTAAAAAGTTTTTACAATGAATATTTGTACATAATTATCTTTCGGACAAAGATATTATTATTTTAAAACAAACTGCAGGAAGTTCGAAGGAACCTAAGATTAAACATAAACGTAAAAGAACATGTAAAACTATTATTTTGTATGTTTATGTATGTGTGTGTGTCTATATATAATTGATGTTACAAACACCGTCGATATTTACATGACCACTTTTTCAATTAGGTGTTATTTCGAAAGAAGGTCGGGAATTACTAAATTTTATACCAACATAGGCTGATCTATTGGATGACCAACCTAATTGTTTGTTCTGTGGCGCTAAAAAAATAATGCATGAATCCTCATTTATGTGTTGTGGCAATGGCAGCGTCATATTAGCAAGCAATGCGATACCAAAAATGCTAAAAGATCTTTTAACTCAAAATACAGAGGAAGCTAAAATATTTAGGACATATATCAGGACTATCAATAAAAATATTTAGGAAGTCTGTATCATAAAAATATTTAGGACATATATCAGGTCTGTATCATAAAAATATAGCTAAAATACAGAGGTATTATAAACTCAAACCGCGAACAATGTTCGAATACATCGTCAAGCCAGCAAAGCCGAAAATACAAGAATGAGAGGACACGCTTAAAGCGGCCTAGATCATAACAAGAAATAAGGAAGTCTGAAGAAAGCCAAACTAACCACTGCAAATGCCTAGCTAGAAGACCAACTCCACAATACAAACAAATAAAATAACTACAAACTGAAAACAACAACCATAACTAAAGAAAAAGGGAACACTATTCTTTCAAAGCACAGAACTCAATCCATTCAGAGTTAAAGATGATAAGAATTTATCAAAGAGAAATAAAGGTACTTATACATTCAGAGTGCAAGGACAAGTTTATCATTTTATAAATAATTTGTCAGATTCAAAGAATTTGCAGCTATATTTTTATGATACAGACAATGAAGTTGCAAATCGTTTAAATATATGTCCAAGACTCAACGAAAGCATAATTGAAAAGGTAATTAAAATATTGAGTGAAAGTTCATATGCTAGATTCTTCAGGTCTTTAAAAAGCTTAACAAATATTGATGATTTTCATATAGTTTTAAGAACAACAATGAACATGGATCAAAGAGTTTTCAACTAACCAACAGTATCCCAAGTGGCAGCAATATGGATAGAAGTCGATGAGAATGAAGAAACAGGACGTAGAGATATACAAATACAAAGTTGTATTGGATCTTCACATAATATAGAATATTATTATGGTTGCTACGATCCTTTGCAATATCCTTTGCTTTTTGCTTATGGAGAAGTAGGACGGCATCAAGGTATTTTGAAAAAAGGGGAAAATCATACTAGCACATATCATCATGACAAAAATAGCGAGAATGAAATATCTCCTTTATTTGCCTCAATAGCCGAAGAGCTTTTAGAAAGTGAACATCAAGGTAAAATATTTAAATGAAATGTATTTTTGTCATTCATATGCTAACTTGTTATTATTACTAATTTGTTCTTTGTGTTATGTCCAGGGATGTAAATGTGTTTCAGTAAGAGAATATTATGTATATAAATTACAAATGCGAGATAATGATGAATCATTTTTACTGCATTATGGTAGGCTTCTGCAACAATATTTAGTTGATATGTATGTAAAACTTGAATCACAAAGATTAAACTTCTTTAAGATGCAACAAGATGACATAAGAAGAGAATTCTTACAAGGTGTGCAAGATTCCATAACAGCAGGAGAAACACAGGCTTCTAAAATAGGACATAGAGTCATTTTACCTGCTTCCTTACAGGAGGACCTAGAAATATGAGGAAAAGATATTTAGATGCAATTACATTAGTGAAAAAGTTCGGGAAGCACGACTTATTTATAACCATGACATGTGTTGATATCCGGTTCGGGCTCCCATAAAGGTAACGATCCGAGGGGCCGGGAACCGGGCAAGGCCGGCCCGGCCAGTGGGGCCAGTTACCGTGTCTATTAGCAGGTGCTGATCTGAGTACGAGTCAAAGTCAACTGGAGTGGCAGATGACGTCGTATCCAGAGGTCGGCACCTCAGCATTTCTGTCAAGAAGCCGACCAACCCGGATATGGGGTCTGGAAGACCGGAGGACAGGTAGACCGTCACAGACCGTCTTGGGATCCTACCAGCTCGGCTCTCGTAGGGGTTAAAGATTCAGGAAACAATTAAATAAGGCCACTTGTCGATCAATGATTGCCGATGGGACACCCCAGACTAGCCTGCAGGTCTAGGGCGTCTAGCCCGGCCGAGGAGCATGTCCGCATTAAATGCAGCCCATACATGCATTAAATGCGTTGCAGGTAATGATTGGAAGACCCCTAAATCACTCCCAATCAGTCAAAGAAACGCCGGCCTGTCTTGCCAAGTTACTGTATGACAAGACTCACGAACAGTACCCGAATAGTATCACATTTAAGAGCCCTATAAATAGGAGTTCAAAGCATTTATTTTGGGTTGTTGAATCTCAATTGTCCTGACCCTCTCTACATTTTCTCTCTCTAAACTTGTAAGGAATTTATGTAAAAACTTGTAAGTACATCTCAAGTGCCGACCTCGTACGAGAGGCCGACCTCGAGATCACCTATAAAAATCGTAATTAAACCGTTTTTCCTGCCTTTTTTCCCTTTTTACATTTCTTTAATCGTTGATCGGAAACATCCATCAACAGTTTGGCGCTAGAAGGAGGGCACCATAAGTTACTTGGTGTCAATTTTTCGATCTTGTGGAACTCCACTTTGAACAACTTTTCTTTCCAACTCTTCATCTCCAAAACACTCGAAATGGTTTCGTCGGATCACAACGAGTCCACCCAACAGTCCAGCGCCCAGCCGCGTCGGCGCAACGATGGGGAGACCTCTCGTCGTGCTCAGTAGGGGCCCATAGTCACGGTCCCGCCAGTTCCCACATTCGTTGCGGCCATGCAGCACCCCGACGTCCTCAAAGCCCTCGAAGGGGTCTTCGCGAAGGCGCTTGCCAGCCAGGCGGCCGGGGGAAACACCGTGGTGCCCACGGAAAACCCCGAAAATACCCTGCTCCATAGCCCCGAAAAGGAAGCCGGGGGGAAGAAGACCCGACGAAATCCAAAACCACGGCTCAATCACCGAACCATGAGGCCCGAGATCGCCGCGACAAGAATACCAGGCAGGCTCCTACCGAGGAGAGCCGTCCGGAGCAAATCCTCTAGATCGTCCGCCGTTCAATTCACCAACGCCTGGGTGACAAGAGCCAAGCCAACCGCGATCTCCGGGAAGTCATCAAGTGGGGCAAAGCTATAGGGCGCGACACTGACGAAGTCGCGGCCCTCAAGCACCGAATCGCCGAACTGGAAGGCCGACACCCCTCCAGGAGTGAGCTGTCGCTCTCCGCCTATCCACAATCTTGCACACGACCGACTCCCCGAGTCGCGGACAACGCTTCACCTCTTTCCCCCGACATCTTGCAGGAAACCGTCCCGAAGAAAATACAAGTACCCCAGCTCGACCTCTATGACGGGAGCTCGGACCCCGATTCCCACATTGGTCTCTATACCTCGTGGATGGACCTGCACGGCGCCTCTGACGCCCTACGCTGTCGCATGTTCTCCTTGACGCTGGGGCCAAAGGCGCAGAGGTGGTATCACTCTCTTTACCCCCATTCCATTTCCTCCTGGGGGCAGCTCAGGTCGGCGTTCCGGTCACACTTTATTGGATCGCAGGTCAACCTCGCCCCCAAAGAATCCATCGCCAACATTGTTCAGGGCAAGAACGAGAGCCTGAAGGACTACATTACTAGGTTCAACGACCGGGTCCAAAACATGGAACGGTGCCACCCTGACGCCCTGCTGATCACCGCCCAGGGTGGCCTGAGACCAAAAACGCTGTTTAAATGGTCCCTGTACCAGAACAAGCCAACTACTTACCAGGAGTTCCTTTCCCGAGCTCAGGACTACATAATGGCGGAGGAGTCCTCGTCGATCCCAACGTTTGACACCACGCCAACGCCGGCAAAGGAAAAGGCGAAGGAGGAGAAACCTGGAAAACCCAGCAAGTCGTTTGCCGAGATCCGAGCTCAGCGGAAACAAAGAGCTGAGGAGCTGAAGGAAAGCTATCAAAGCGTCTTCTCGATAGGAGCCGCTGCGGTCTATGAGGAGATCAAGGCGAAGGGGCTATTGCCGGACCCCAAGCCGACGTTCACTGACAAGGACAAGGTAGACAAGACCCGCTACTGCATTTACCACAAGGCGCATGGGCACAATACCGACCAGTGCCGAAATATGATCTTGGCACTGCTCAAGCTGATCGACGACCCGCAGATGAAGAGATTCATCCACTCCGGGGAGAAGAGAAAGAAGGGGGCACGTTTTGAGGAAGGCCTCGACAGTGACGACGATGCCGACGTGAACCTCAGGAGGAAGAAATCTCAGCAGGGCGGCCCCCATGAAATCATGACCTTCTGCCCTGCCCGCCAAGACGAGGCCGGCACCTCTAGGGGTAGGAAGAGAGACCGGTCCCCACGCACCGGGGCCGACCAGACCAACTACCCAACCCGGTGCATCAACACGAGCCGAGGCGAGTCCCTCCTCTCCAAGAGGAAAACCAAGGCCTATGCCCGGCAGGCCTACTATGCCGGGCGGAGGATAATGCATGCCGACAGCAGGCCGGCGCCGGAGCCAACCCCAAACAAAATCTCCTTTACAGATGAGGATGCCTTCCTGTTCGACCACCCTCACTTCGACGCCCTAGTGATCACGGCGCCGATCATGGCGATAAAGATCCACTGCATCATGGTCGACACCGGGGCCTACGCGAGTATCCTCTATTATGACACCTTCAAAAAGATGGGGATCGACAAGAAGGAAGTGCAGCCTTGTCGCGAACGGATCCAAGGCTTCAACGGACAAACAACAACCCCCGTCGGCCAAGTCACACTGCCAGTCCGTTTTGGAGGGAAGGGGCAGCCCACGAGGACCATTTTGAAAACTTTCAAAATCATAAACTGCCCGAGCGAATACAACGCCATTCTGGGTAGGACGGCCCTCTACAAGCTTAAGGCCGCCGTCTCCATATTTCACTATTCCCTCAAGTTTCCGACCTCAGATGGAGAGGGACCCACCGTGGGGACCAGAGAGAGGCGCGGGAGTGCATCCTGACCATCCCGCGCACGGAGATAAATGCGGCAGACACTCTTTCAGACCCCGAGGTGACCGACATCGGGCCGGCACACGATGGTCCTAGGGGCAACCGCATGCTGGAAGACCAGACAGGTTCGCACCCCTTGACCTCGTCAAGTGCCGACCCCATCTTCATGGGACTCGAGACGGAGGTGACCAGCCCGACCCCCGATGCCGGGATGGGTAACCCTAATCGGAGAGATGACCACGTGCTGGAAAAACAGACAGGCACACTCCCCTCGGTTGACAACAATGCCGGCCAGGCTGAAGGAGGCTCCGGGGACGAACTTGACCTAGACAGGGGGAGAAGGGCCGGCAAGGAGCCGGCCATCGAAGAAGACGAGCTCGATCCCCGAACCCAGTATGAGGAGAAACGAGGAACGAAGAGAGCCGAGCCTATGGACAAAGTCGAAGTCATCTTCATTGACGAAGAGACTTGTCAGAAGCAACTCCGGATAGGGAGCAGGCTGTCGGGGCCGCTCAAGGCCGAGCTGACCAGATTCCTCCGGGAAAACGCAGACGTCTTCGCGTGGACCCACAAAGACATGGTCGGCATCGACCCTCGGGTTGCCTGCCACCGGCTGCAGGTCAACCCCACGGTCAAACCGGTCGTGCAAAAGCGAAGGAAGCTCGGCCCGGACCGACAACATGCCTTGGAAGAAGAAGTGATCAAGCTCAAGGATAATGCATACATTCGCGAGGTCCGGTACCCGACCTGGGTAGCCAACCCGGTACTTGTGAAGAAAAGCAGCGGAGCATGGCGCTTGTGCATCAACTTCTCCGACTTGAATAAGGCGTTCCCCAAAGACAACCCCCTTCCCCACATCGATTATATGGTCGACGCTACCTCGGGGCATGACCGCGCGTCGCAACACGGCAAATTTAAATTTATAATATTTTCCTCGACTAACCTCTACTAACTAGTAGTAGCGGCGAGTAAGGGTCGATCCCACGAGGAGCAGGAATTAATTGTGACTATTCTCGTATTAATTGAATTAAACTAGGAAAACAATAAAATATGGGGGGGGGGGGGATTGGTTTTATAAAAATCTAATAAAATGAGAGAAGTCCAGTTTTCGGTTTAGTTATCACCCAATCTAAATCTACCGTTAATTAATTTCGACGCTTTCTTTAAATTGCTAATGAATTACCGACCCTAGCTAACAACAAGCTCTGTTAACCGAATTTTCCCTTACTGAATATTTAATCGAAATAAGCTCTTCGACTAAACCTAACTAGTGGACAACCTAGAATAAGCTCTCT